TGTCCGGAATGCCTCCCTTTTGGGAGAGGTGGAGGCTGAGTATGGCAGAGAGGTGGGGGCTGAAAGCGAGAGACCCCCACCAGGAGCCTGGCATCCCTGCAGCCTGGGAGGGAAAACCGCCTGAAATAACATCCGAAGCTCCTTCCCCAGGTACCACCCCCAAATCTTCAGGAATTTCCTGCCATCCCTCACTGTACAGAAAGCTGTAGCCTATCCAAGCACTTGCTCTGCTGCAGTACTGGGATGAAAGAATCAAGCCAAGCATGTAGAGGGCATTTAGCAGCCTCATGCACACAGGGCACCAGCTTTGCAGGCAGGAGTGAACATGGAGGAACCCTGGCTAGGAGGCTGTGGGGAAAGATAGAAACAGATCTGGAAGGGACCCCCAAGGGTCAACAACCCCATGCACAATGGAAGAAATTTGCAGCTACCTCCCCCCACTTCCCCAATGACCTCCGCTCTATGCCCAGAGGAAGGCAAACAACCTCCAGGATCTAATCTGGCCTGAAGGAGAATTTCTTCCTGACCCCAAAGTGGCAATTGGCATTACCCTGGGCATATAAGAAAGGGCCACAAGAGCTGAGAGAGCCAGTTTGGTGGAGTGGTTAAGTGTGCGGACTCTAATCTGGGAGAACCGGGTTTGATTCCCCACTCCTCCACTTGCACCTGCTGCTGTGACCTTGGGTCAGTCACAAGCTCTGGCACAGCTGTCCTTGAAAAAGAGCCGTTTGTATCAGAGCTCTCTCAGCCCCACCCACCTCACAGGGTGTCTGTTGTGGGGAGGGGAAGGGAAAGGAGTTTGTAAGCCGCTCTGAGACTCCAAGTGAAGGGCGGGGTATAAATCCAATCTCCTCTTCTTCTTCTTCTCTCTGAGCGCTGGTTCACCCCTTCCTGCCCTCCATCCATGATCTGCCTAAATTCATAGTGAGTCATGGAATCAGCATTGCTGTTAGATGGCCATCTAGCCTCTACTTAAAAACCTCCAAAGAAGGAGAGGGGCCCCCCCCGAAGCCTGTTCCACTGAGGAACCACTCTACCTGTCAGGAAGTTCTTCCTAATGAAGATTGGGGGGGGGGGGGACACAGCAATTAGTGAGGCAAGGTGACTAAGTGACGCTGTCTTTTTCTCCCACCGCCCACCGCTCCGGTGGCATCCTAGCGGTCATCGCGCTCTTTTGCAAGCAATATGACATCATCAAGGACAACGATTCCAACAACAACAAGGAGAAGACCAAGCCTTCCTCGGAACACAGCACTCCAGAGCGGCCGACAGGGGGCCTCCTGCGCAGCAAGGTCAGTGTGCTCCCAGAGGACGGGCAGAGGGGTGGGCAAGAGGCTGGCCTGGGCACCATGAGGCAGGAAGCAGTGCCCTAGGCAGAATGCAGAAGAAGGGTTTATTCTTTATTTAGTTACAAAGTCGATACCCTTCTTTCCTGCCCAGTCAGGGCCCCCAAGGTGGCTAATGCACAAGAGCAAAACATTATAAAAACACTTCGTTAAAATGATTAAAACCCAAAGTAGAATACATATGTAGAAACACAAAACCAGCAATTCCAACACAGGGCAGGAAGGAGGGGTCACTGAGTGAACACCAGAGGAGACAAAGAAGAGCTCACCTTGCTGGCGGAAGACAGTGATGGAAGGGAATGTATATGCATGTCTCTTGGGAGAGCGTTCCCTGATTTTGATGCCACCACTGAGAAGGCCCCCTCTCAGGTAACCACCTGTCTAACGTCAGAAGGCAGGGGTGCTCAAAGGAGGGCCTGAGAAGAAGAGCGTAGCAATCTGGTAAGTTTGCAAGGGTGTTGTTGTTGTTCAGTCGCACAGTCGAGTCCGACTCTTCGCGACCCCATGGACCAGCTCCCGCCAGGCCCTCCTGTCTTCCGCCGTCTCTGAAGTTTGCTCAATTTCATGTTTGTTGCATCTATGACACTGTCTAACCATCTCATCCTTTGCCATCCCCATCTTCTTTGACCTTCAATCTTTCCCAGCCTCAGGGTCTTCTCCAGTGAGTGCTCCCTTCTCATTTGGTGGCCAAAGTATTTGAGCTTCAGTTTCATTATCTGGCCTTCCAGGGAACAGTCAGGGTTGATTTCTTTTAGGATTGACTGATTTGATCTTCTTGCAGTCCAAGGGACTCTCAAGAGTCTTCTCCAGCAAGGGTGTAGGCGGTCTTGAAAGCACGCTGGTCCCAAACTGTGCAGGGATGGAGGAGTAGAGGCACCAGTGGGGCTTTGGTGGCTAAGGCTGCCCCATGAAACCCCCCTGAAATTGCCTTATACCCTCGGTCTATGGAGGTAAGTACTGCCAACTCTGAAATATCTTCCTCACAGGGATGGTTCTCCAAAGTTTTCTTGCTGCGGCTACGGCTGCCAACTGAGCATCAGGGCAACAGTACTTCCACATGGTGGCTTTACCAGCCCCCAACACAGAGCACCAATGGAGGGCTTTTTCAGGGGTTCTTCCTTAACTGGTAATTAACATATTGCTACAGCAACATTGTAATGAAGAAAGAAGTGTACTTGGGAAAGGAAGGGAAGGGAAGTCACCAGTGCTTAAGGGGGCAAGAGGGGGAATCCAGAGTCTCGGACTTTAGCCCTGCTGGTGTTCTCTTGCAGAAGGGAAGCACTTGATATGACTTCCATTCAGCCAAAGCATTCTAGGGAAACATCTTGGATTCCCGGAGAGGATCCTAAAGGGGCTGCGGTGGCTAACTGGTTAAGACGCTGAACTGCAGACCGGAAGGTCTGTAGTTCGGCAGTTTGACACCCGAGTGCCGCATGACAGTGAGCTCCCGTCTCTGGTCCCAGCTCTTGCCAACCTAGCAGTTCGAAAGCAAGAATCTGCAAGTAGATCAATAGGTACCGCTTTGGTGGGAAAGTAACAGCATTCCGTGCGCCTCGGTGTCTAGTCATGCCAGCCACATGACCGCGGAAACGTCTTCGGACAGCGCTGGCTCTTTGGCTTGGAAATGGAGATGAGCACCGCACCCCTAGAGTCGGATTCAACTGGCTTTTGAGCAAGGGAAACCTTTACTTAGAGGATCCTAGCTGTTGCTGAAGCCCTGAGTTTTAAACTCCCTGCCGAGATAAACAGGTGCTAGGCAGGCATGGAGAGGAGACTGCCTGGCTTCTCAGGTCCCAGGGAGCCCCACCCTATTGACAGGCCTGGTTCAAGTGTGTTTGCCATCCCATGGAGCTTTTGCTCCGACCGGAATAGATTCTGCCATCCTTCTTGGCAATCTTTCAGATCTCTACTATAAAGTACGCAAGTTCAACAGTTCCCAGTAGGTGGCAGCACAGGCAGTTTATATGTTGCAAAGAAATGCGTGTAAAAGACGACGTTTGCTTGATGGGTTTTGGTGACATTTGAATACTGAATTAAAACCACATTGTCCAGGAAATGCTACAGGGAGGAAAATCCTTGTGATAAGATACTCTGTAGTTAACAAAGATTGCTCAACTTCATGTTCGTTGCATCTATGACACTGTCTAACCATCTCATCCTTTGCCGTCCCCGTCTTCTTTGATTGAAGGTCAAAGAAGACGGGGACGGCAAAGGATGAGATGGTTAGACAGTGTCATAGATGCAACAAACATGAAGTTGAGCAATCTTCAGAGGACGGCGGAAGACCGGAAGGCCTGGCGTGATCTGGTCCATGGGGTCGCGAAGAGTCGGATTCGACTGTGCAACTGAACAACAACAAAAAGTTAACAAACTGTGAAGTTCAGCACTCAGGGCTCATGGCTTGGAACAGTTTGATTACCGACACCCCCCCCCCCAAGTCCTGTTGTCCTGGAGAAAAACATTCTATTTCTTAATAGAGGTTTAATGTGTGAAAATGTGCAGCTGAAGTTTCTCATGGCACAGAGATAAACAAACAATGCCTCCTCTAAGCTGTGGAGTCTTGTGAGCAAAAATTCTGTGTTGTGAGCTACTGGCATTAAAGTTGTGAGCGAGTTATTTGGCTGCTGCATAAATTAGTTTGCTCTGGAGCCATCATTCCTGAGCTAAGACAAGAATGTGTGAGCCAGAGGCTAAAAAACTGTGAGCTAGCTCACACTAACTCAGTTTAGAGGGAGCATAGCGTAAGTAACATCCCATTAAGCCTCTGTTAAAGGGACAGGACAGCTGGCCGGAGTACAAGCCGCATGTACTTCAAGAGAGCCCTCTTTGGACAGAAAACAGGTTAAGACTAAATTAATTTTTAAATGTTCATTGCTATTGCTTCTCCACAGAGGCCTGTACCTTCGTGGTTCCCCCAGCTCCCTTTTTAATCATTGACATTCCATTTGCTACTTTCCCATACGTGAAAAATAAATACTTTTGCTGGGAGATGGCCAGTTTCACACCTGAGATCTACAAAATCCCTGAGGGGGTGCTATGCCAATCTTTCTTTGTAAAAGTAAATATCACCCAGTGAATCTGGCTGGCAATAGGCTCAGGAATGACAAAAGGAAGCATTTCCCCATGCAATGAAATATGCTATTGCAAAATGGCATTCACGCTTGCAAGCACCTAGATCTGTTTTAGACTTCTTCAGTATGGTCTGGTTTCACAGCAATCCAGTAATGTGTAAAGATGAGTCACATGGACAGTTGGAACAGCCATTTCACACATACCTGTTATCCCACCCTAGGAGAAAACAGTACTGGCAATAGGACAATACACAGTGTCCCATTCTGATTGACCAGAGCCAAATGTGCAAGGCAGCCGCCACCTTCTAGATGGCCTTCAAGATATGTGCCTATCCTGTCATGGACAGGCAGCAAAACGGGTGGGGGAAATAAACAAATCTCCGAACCTGGAAGATTTTGAGGCTGTGAACTGAGATGGTGGTGCAGGAAGAAAGAGTTCAATGGATTCTTAAGCCCAGGGGTTGTTTCATAGAAAAAGAGCTAGGGGAACTCATTAGCATAGCTCATTAGCATATGCCACACCCCCTGACATCAGGGGCCCGGCAGTGGGCCGGCGAGAGTGCGAGGAAGCCCCGCCAAGGCCCTCCCTGGCCCCAGGCAGGCAGGGGTGGGGAGAGGCGGGGAGGAAGCAACTTACCCTCCCTCTTCTCCTGCCTCCTCCTGGTTGAATGAGGGCCGGAAGCGGGGCGGCCGGAAGCAGGGGGCAGGGCTTCATTATGTGCCCCGCCCCCCGCCCCTCACCCGGGGGAACTGCGATCCCCCGCGATCCCCCCGAATCAACCTCTGCTTAAGCCAACTTCATATGATTGTCTATGCTGAAGGAGTATCCTGAAGCCCATTCAGGCTGCGGTCACATGCACCAGTTGGAGTGGAGGGGAAATGAGGCTATCTCCTCTGGAAGAATTTAACACGCAGTTGTGAGACCACACATCCCTTTGTAGCTGGGCTGCAGCCCGTCACTGTATGATCAGACGCAACTGTGGGTCTTTTCCCCCTGGCCGTTTGTTTCCCATGCACATAAAGGAGGAATCACACCTCTGCACTGAGGTGTGGATTATGTGATGATGCACATACTGCGAAGAGGGGGGAAACAAACACCACCAAACCGGGATGGTCTGAACATCTAGAGAGCGTGCTTCTGCGACCAGACAAGGGAAAGTCCGTCCGTGGCTCTTTGGAACCTGTTTACTACCGGACTTTACCCAGTGTCTTTTAACTCCGCTTCTGTAGTGAAGCAGCACAGGTTGCCGACGACAGCGGGATGCTTCCCAGATGTTGCTGTCTGATTGCGCCCATTAGATCCGTCAGGCATTCGCACCTCTGTTGGATCTAAAGCTGCGTATGATCGCAGCCTCAGTGTCCTTGGCACTGGAAAGGAGGGTTTGGTGAAAGCTGAAATGGGGGGGGGGACGGGAGTTCTAATCTGGTCGAAGTGGCAGAGCACGCCACCCAACAAGTGACTGCATTGGGGGATTTGAAAGGGGATTGGACAGGTTCATGGAAGAGAGGTCCAATTCAACGAGCCATGACTACTATAAGGAACTATTTCTTCATGCAGTGCATTACAGCTGTGTGCTGAGGCTGATTATCAGTGCTGGGAGGAAACATCCAGGGAAGCTTGACCTCTCTGTCCTGTTTGCTGAGCATCCAGTGTTTGGCTGCTGTATGAAACAGGATACTGGACCACTGTTGTGATTCAGCAGGTCACCTTTTAGGTTCTTAGCAGGGCAAGTGGAACAAAGGAGACACCTGGAAAGATCCCTTCAGTAACTGTTTGGGGGCACCATTTGTGATCGCTCACCACCCTGTTTCTTACAGCAGTGGTTCCCTGTGGGTTGAGCCTGCGGGCATCTTTGGAATTCTGACAAAGCATGGCACAGCCATAAAATGACTGCCACAAAATGGCTGCCAAGGGAGGCAGAGTCAGACAAGAAAATGGCCGCTGCAGCTTACCTTCAGTCACACAGTAAAGATCCTGGTAATGTAGTGGCAGTTATTGTCAACACAATGCTTTTAAAATCTGCACAGTCCATCATATTTCCAGCAGCCAAAGAGAAGCATTGCTGGGCAAAAGCCCCACCTACTTTCTAAACACACTTGGCAGGCACCAGGAAAGGTGTTTATGATCACCATGGCACCCACAGCACCACATTGAGGACCCCTGTCTCAAAGTATCCTTCTAGTCCTGGTTCTAGGATCTCTCTCTCTCTTTCTTTTGCAGAAGAAAACGCCATCTGTCAATATCATTGAAGTGTAGCTGTTACCACAGGCCAAGAGCCTTCTAGGACTCTGGGACCTCACTGTGCTCCTGGCCTGGCTCCCCACCTGCATGCGACGAATTCATGCTTCTTGCCCCCCATCGAGGGAATCTGCATGGAGCAGCTGGCGCAGGGTGCATGCAGAAGCCAGTCTCTAACCCCCCTGCCCGACAGCCGCAGGAATCTCTGGCCTGTGCTGGGGCCACGAGGAGCAGCCACGAGAATCCCGTGGTAAGAGTGGTGCCCAGAACGGTGGACAGCCACTGCTTGAATACTGTTTGTGTGGCCTTATTTCTGGCTGGTGTGGGAGGGCCAGAGCTGTTGGCTCGCAGTCTCTCCCACCCCCGACCCTGTGCCTGGACGGGAGCGGAAGGCGTGGCTTACCGCTGGACTCAGACCCACAAGCTGTGAAGTTCGGTTGAGCCACCTAAAGGAAGACGCTGTGTGGCTGTCAGAAGAGCAAATGACTTGTGTTGGGGTTCTTTTCAATGTAGCAAATTGATGGGGAGGTGCAGGGAATGGAGGGCTTGGGATGGTGGGGGGTAGGGAGCTCTACCAGGTATGGCAGGCAGCTATTTCCACTGGGGAAGCCAACTGCCACATAGAGTCAAAGCCTTTGTCAGTCTAGGTCAGTATGGTCAGCTCTGACGGGCAGCGGCTCTCTTGGGTCTCGGTCTTTAGCATCATCAGCGACCCAACCCATTTAACTGGAGGGGATGAGGACTGGACCTTGGACCTTCTGCATGCAAAGCAGGTGGTCTATCATTAACCCCACCCTGCCCTACCCTACCCATCTGGGCTAGTTAAGCTCAGGCCTTGCCCCGCAAAAGCATTAAGCCCAAGAAAGAATGTGATCCAGTAACTCTGGAGGAAAAGTTTCCATCTGTTTCCAGGTCCAACAGAATAGGAAGAAAGGACTGGTTTGTCCCGGTGGATGAACTGTGGTCTGAGCATAGCCATGCCGCGGGCAGA